AGACTCCAGTGGGGAAGCAGTTGCCATGGTCCTGGAGAGAGAAAATGCTGTGCTAAGCCCAGGCAGCAGCATAGCAGGAACCGAGGGACATTAGAGGTAAAATAAACACAATCTGGTGACTGATGAGAAGTTTGGATTGATTATAGAGAGGGAACCAGAACCATCTAACATGTTGCTAGACTAGAAGGATGGCTGTGCCTTTCACTGAGATCAGAGGAGGACCGGGTTTTGAGGTGATAGGTAATGAATCTTCGTGATATCAACTGTATGACCTTGGGCAGGTTATTTAGGTTCTCTTTACCACAGTTTCTTCGGGTATAGAGGAGAGAAAACAACCTTTACTGCATGACAACCTTCGAAGATAATACAGTGCCTGATACATCATATACACTGTTACTATATAGGTTTTGAGGAAATGTGATGCAGTCCTTCCTTTAGGCTTCTCAGAGATGACAGACAGGTGTAGGAAAATGAATTCGCCTTGTGTGTCTTGAGTGAAAAACTATACACTTCAAGTGGAGGGTGGGGAGAAATTCTTAGGACAAAAGGCACAAAGAGCTTGGATTATATATCGCGGGAAAAGCAAAACCAAGAGGTGATTTAATGAGACTTTAAATGAGGGACAAGGCAGGAGTTAGCATGTACCATTGCTGAAAATGATTTCAACAACACAGAGCTTTTCATAAAATGCTTCATTTCTATAAAAGAGATACTCAGGGCCTTACTGTTTATTTTTTGTGGTGATGGCCAAAGTAATAAGTATTTATTATAGAAAATTTGAAAACCACTGAAAAGAAGAACAAAGTAAATAAATAATACCTATGATTCTAACGCCCAGAGAGTCTGTCGTCAACGTTTCAGGTCTGTACATTCACCTGTTCTTCCATCCACCCATGTTTCCTTTTCTTTTTCTAACACAGCTGAAATTAAACCATATATTATTGTGTAAACAGCTGTGTTTTGCACAGGAAGAACTTAAATGGAGACTAATCCTAGCTTGAGGGATTTAGGTTAGCTATGTGCAGTAAGAAGAAAATGTCTGATGTGTTTTGTCAATGAGTTATTGAGAAAGAGTATGGCATTTTCTTCTCTGGCAGTCTTAAAATATAATAGGATCAGCTCTCATCTTGTTGACAGCAAGGGCATGACCTCGCTTTACTGCCTTGTTATTCTCTGATATGTGGACAAACCCTAAGAGTGCTTTTCTGACGACTCCCAAAAGTGGTGAAAGAAATATTGGTTAGAATGTGGTGTAAGAGAGACTTTTATTAATCCCTCACCTACATTTGCCTTGAGGACTGAGGGCTTGAGAGTGCATCACTCCCAAGAGTATGAGACTGTTCAACTTTTCATTTTTAAATATTAAAATCACTGTAAAATTCTACTTTGACTAATCCAAATAAAGATGGGGAAGATTAGTGTCACCAGGATATAGTTTTACATGAGCAAATCATTTTAAATAGGCTTAAATCTAAGAGGTGAAAACTGCTTAGATGGAAGGTATTTATGTCATATTGGATGGATAACTGCGTGCGTGCGTGCGTGCGTGCGTGTGTGTGTGTATAAAGGAGGCAGAAGAAAAAGGGATGGAGGGGGGGAAAAAGGGGTTCAGAAGGCTTCCTTTTGTGTGCATGATCTAAATGCGAAGGATACTGCTATTAGAGAGAAGGTCTAATTAAAGGTTTTAATAACCCTTTTGACAAAAATCACAGTTTGTTGGATCCAGTATCTTCTCAAAACAAATTTTTTTTTGTTTCCGTGCATGTGCTCACATACACATGCATGCACACTTACACATCTATGCACAGAGGCGACTTAACTCCCATCTCCTTGCTACAAAGATATAAGAATGCTGGGAACATATTTTTTGTAGAATATTTTAAGTTGCAGTTAAATTAATTCATTTATTTAACAAATGCTCATTGAACTCACTGAAAGCTCATTGAAAGCACTGTGCCGAAAATAGGGGATAGGAGATTGTCTATAAGTTTCAAGAAGCGGCAACAGCCTTTTCGCCAGTGGTGCACATGGAACTGTTAATCAGTGTTTGATACTTGGTGTCTTCCAGTCCCTGTTACCTTCAGAATGAAATCGGAACTCCTCAGCCTGAGACCAGTCTGGTCTCCACTTACTCTGTTAGCCTCATCTCCTAACATCTCAGTCATAACACGCAGTCATTCCTGTGGGAAGAATTTATCAAGCCCCTTGCCATGTGCTGGGTGTTTTCAAGTACCTTGTGGCTCCTCAGACATTCTCTGCTCCTTCATGCCTCCTTGCCTGGATTCTTGTGATTTTCCCCTGGTGGTGTGCTTCACCTCCATCTGCCGCCACTCTCCCACTTGTCCATTTGTCTCTACCACTGGTCTGTGAGATCCTGGAGAACAAAGACCACCTCCTTCTCTGTGGGCCTCTAGCACCTAGGATGGTGCTTAGCATAGGGTAGCCATGCAGTCAGTGTGTCGATCAAATGGACGAATAAGCCAAATAAGTGTAATCCAGATCTCTAGTGGTGATGAACTTCCTCAGCTTTTGCTTATCTTGGAAAGTCTTAATTTTTCTTTCATTTTTGAAGGATGGTTTTTGCACCTATAGTATTCTTGATTTGTAGTTTTTTTTTCTTTTCAGTATTTTTATTCATTAATTAATTAATTTATATTATTTATTTATTATATTTATTTATTCAGTATTCAGTAGTTGCTATAATGTGTCTTGATATGAGTCTTTGAAATCATCCTAGTTCAAGTTTATTGAGCTTCTTGAGTTTGTGTGCTCATTTTTTCCCTCAAAATTTTAGCTGTTATATCTTCAAATAGTTGCTTTGCCCTCTTCTTGTTCTCTTCTCCGTTTGTGACTTCTATATTGTGTATATTGATCTGTTTGATGATGTCAAATAAGTTCTTAGGCTCTCTTCGCTTAAATTTTCTTTTTCCCTTTGGGTCCACTGATTCATTTTTTTTTTTAAGAACTAGGGTCTCACTTTGTCACCCAGGCTGGAGTGCAGTGGTACGATCATTGCTCACTGTAACCTCAAACTCCTGGGCTAAGGGGATTCTCTCACCTTAGCCTTCCAAGTAGCTAGGATTACAGGCATGTGCCACTATGCCTGGCTAATTTTTTTCTTTTGTGTTTTTGTAGAGACTTCTGGTGAATTTTTTTCAATTCAGTTATTGTATTCTTCAACTCCTGAATTTATGTTTGGTTCTCTTTTTTATAGTTTCTGTTTGTTGATAGTCTAATTTTGTTCATGCATCATTCTCTTGATTTCATTTTGTCTGTCTGTATTCTCTTTTAGCTCACTGAACATTTTAAAGATAGTTATTTCAAATTCTTTGTCAGGTAATCCATAGGTCTCTGTGTCTTTTAGGAGTGGTTTCTAGAGATTTATTTTGTTTTTTGTTGTGAACATGTTTCCTTTTTTTTTTTTTTTTTTTTTAATGCTTGTGATTTTTTTGTTGTTGTTGAGATTTGAGCATTTGAAAACAGTTACTTTTCCCAGTCTTTGTGAACTGGCTTTGTACAGGGAAAGGCCGTTACCAATAAGCCCAGCTAGAGACTTTGGAGGTTTCTTGAAGCTTTTCTGAGGATGCGTCTTCTCTGGGTTTGTGTGTGTAATTTCCAGTTAAAGAGTTCTACTTGACCAGATGCCACATGTTCTCACTTATAAGTGGCAGCCAAACTAAGGAACTGCAGAGGCATATAGAATGGCGTAATGGACATTGAAGTCTTAAAAAGGGGAAGGTGGGGGGGCGGGTAGGGATGAAAAATCACCTACTGGGTGCAGTGGGCACAGGTGGGGGTGGAGGGTACTCTTAAAGTCCAGACTTCTTTGCCACTAATCAAGGCATCCATGTAACCAAAATTCATCTGTACGTCCTAAGCCATCGAAATAATAATAATAATAATAAAAGAGGTCTACTCCTGTTCTCAAGAGCCCATAATCTCTTGTTACCCCTGGTGTCTGAGGTACCGTAGACTCTCTAGTGCTGTAACGAGCGGCCATGCTTGCTTTTGGGAGTATATTGCCACTCTTTCAGTGCTCCGAGTCATGCTCTTGGCAGCCTCTCATAAAGCCAGAATGTTGGATGTACCTTTAGCTCTTCTCTACCCCTCCTAAGGGAGAAGCCAGGAGTTGGAGATGTCTTCTTCCCCCCACCCCCATCGTGCTATGCTGTGCTGTGTGGGAGGGGACCGTCATGGATAAAAACAGCCAACTTTCTTATCTGCTTTGATGTGGCGCTTTGTGGCTTTACACTTGCCCGAGGAGCTGCCCCCTCTCAACGAATTTCTGGAGTTCTCACAAAGTCATTGTCTCTGTGGTAGAGCGAGGGCCTGGGGCTTCTTGTGCGGCCATCTTACTTATATCATTCCCAAGTGTAATCTATATCTCTGTTTTATGAAATGGAGATAATTAATATTGATACAACTTTGTCAAAGAAAGTTGGTAGAGATGGCAGCTCTACTGTTCTCTCTTATTCCCCTCTCCTATCAGGGATTAAATAAGTCATTCTAGGTTTCCAGCTTTCCAGTCTTATCTTAGTTGGTCTGTCTCTCTTTAGCAATAGCGGCTGACATTTAGTAAACACTTAAGATGTCAGATCTCTTTATAGTCCTGTCATATGTATGAACTCATTCACTTGCCACCATAGTTGGGAAAGGAAGATACTATGATCATTCCCATTTTACACGTGAGAAGATTGAGACAGAGAGTCTAAATAATTTATCCCAAGTCATACAGTTAATAATTAACCTCAGACTCAATGTTAAAAAGACATTTTGCAGCATAAAATGAATATTCTTTAAGTTTAATGAGACTTGTTTATAATATATAAATTATAAATCTACTTTCAATAAAAGTATTTTTATAATAGTTATTGAATTTTTATGGATATTATTTTGTGTTGATTGTAAGAGGTAATTATGCTGCTGGAAATGTCTATACTTTACATATCCAAGTGTAGAATGACATCAAAGATGTATGTGTCCTCCCCCCTCCTCCACAGGACAGAGTTCATTCAAAGGGGCAGGATTTCGATCACAGGAGCTGGATTTCTCAACTGCATTCTAGAAACGTTTGCCAGCACGTTCTTAAGACGGGGTGCCCAGAAGGTAAGCTTGTTTCTGCTTGGAACAACCTTAATGTTAAGAAACCATAGGAGTTCCAGTAGGGTTATTGAATAAGCCTTATGAGCAGACATAATGAGAAAAAATATGGTTAATAAACAAATATATGCAAAAATAATTACCCTCAATAATTATTACATAAATCCAAATCAAAGTAAAACTAAAGTGCCACTTACGGCCCATGAAATAAAAAATGTGCCATTAAAGAGTTATGTGAAAATTTGGAGCATACTTATAGTCTAATTAAGAGAAATAATCAGAATTAATAATTATGTTTGTAGTATATACAGTCTAATGGCAAGTATTTAGTACAAAGATAATAATAGCTAATATTTATTGAAGGCTTACTATGTGCTACTGATAGTTACAAGAATTTTTATTTATTATCTCACTTAATCCTCACCAACTTTTGAAGTAGCTGTTATTGTTTTCCTGATATTGTGGGTGAGGAAACTGCAGAGACTCCAAGTATCCATTCTCGTATTTTTCAAACTCTCCACTTGAAGGAATTTAGGCCTCCATGAAGGTGATTCAGAGGCCATGATGGAGTTCTGAGGTCCTGTGTACCCTGTTTTAAGAAGACCTCTTTGATTCTTAATGTTTTTGTGGTATTACATATGACATCTGTATATCCTCTTTTCTTACCCTCATAGCCTTATTTTTAAGAAACTTCTTTAGGACAAAGCTCATTTCTTACTCATTTCTCTATGCTTATCGCAATGCTGAGCATAGAGCAGTGGGTGAAAAGCGTTTTATTATTATTGCTGTTATTTATTGGGGTGATACTTATACATACTTATTTCCAGAATTTACTCCAGACTCATGTATGTGTTGCCTCACTTTGTTTTGTGGGATAGAATTAATGACTAGTCTAAAGAACTGTTGTTATGACTCCCAGAGATTTCTGCGTAATGGACCCTTATTTTTATTTTTCCAAGTCTATGTTTAAGAATGAACCTGAACCAGCAGGCGTTTGGGAAGCTGAGGGTGATGAATGAATATTCAGTACTCTTCTGTACTCCATAGGCATACTGTGGAGATTGATGTGTTCTTGGCCTAGTTGAGGTGGTTCCTGACACACGTCCAGACTGTCCAACTTGAAGAGGGTAGTAGAACTTGCAGAAGGTCTGATATCATCTTTACTCCCTTAGACATTATTGCACGTTTTTCTGCACAATTGCAATATATGCGTTTGTAAAAAACCTCATGTTCTACAAAATTGATTCTAAAAATAATGGGGCAGATGAGAAAATAATTTCATTACTATGTCCCTGACTGGGTTGACTTCTTGTGCATCCTTTAAACCCTGTATTACAAAAATAATAGTAATGATGAGTATAATTTTTGTAATACAGGTTTATTAGTTAGAAAAATGAGATTCTTTTTTTGGGAGGAGGGATAACATTTAGCTGAATTGGAGTTAGTGTTTGCTGTCATTAAATTGACTGCAAATGCTCATTTATAAGAATCTTTCTTATCTGTGGGCCATATAAAAACAGGTGGTGGACTGGATCTGGCCTGTGGGCTATAGTTTGCTGTCAGCTGCTTCGGATAAAAGTTGTTCAGTTAACTCAGGTGGGTCTGCATTTCACCTGTCAATCAATCTGAACCTATGAATGGTTGACTTTTAATCTCACAGTGGTTGTATACCTTCTGATTCTATGAGATGCATAAAGTGAACATTTTAATTCCCATTTTATTAATGAGAAAAGATAAGTGTATACCCAATATGTGGGAAATTCTTCCTCACCTTTCTTCCTTGTACAGATATAGATTGAGCACCTGCTTTGTGCTAGGCACTGTGCTAAGTGTACACACACACACACACACACACACACACACACACACACACACACACACCACATTTTATTTATCCACTGATCAGTTGATGGGCATTTAGGTTGATACCACATCTTTGCAATTGTCAGTTGTGCTGCTATAAACCTGTGAGTGCAGGTGTCTTCTTTGTATAACGATGCCCATTCCCTTGGGTAGATACCCGGTATTGGAACTGCTAGATTGAACAGTGGATCTACTTTTAGTTCTTTGAGAAATCTCCATGCCAACTTCCATAGAAATTTTACTAATTTATACTCCCACCAACAGTGTATAAGCGTCCTCTCACTGCATCCTTGCCAGCATCTGTTGTTTTCTGATATTTTAATAATGGCCATTCTGACTGGTGTAAGGTGGTATCTCATTGTGGTTTTAATTTGCATTTTCCTGATGATGAGTGATGTTGAACAGCATTTTTTCATGTGTTTGTTGGCCATTTGAAAGTCCTCTTTTGAGAGAGATCTTTCCATGCCATTGTCTCACTTATTTTTCATGGGGTTATTTTTTTCTTGAAGATTTGTGTTCTTTGTAGATATGAATATTAGTCTTTTGTTGGATTCATTGTTTGTGAATATTTCTCCCATTCTGTAGGTTGCCTATTTACTCTGGTGATTATTTATTTTGCTGTGCATAGAATCATTTTAGTTTAACCAAATCCCACTCATTTATTTTTGTTTTGGTTGCATTTACTTTTGGAGTCTTTGCCATAAATTCTTTGCCTAGGCTGATGGCCAGAAAAGTTTTTACAAGTTTTCTTCTAGGAGTCTTCTGTTTCAGATCTGACATTAAGATCTTTAATCCATCTTGAGTTCATTTTCTTATATGGTGAAAGATGGAGATCCAGATTTGTTTTCTTTCTAAATTCCCTGGAAGGGACTCCTGTGGGCCTTCCATGGGTGAAGCACCACCAGGAGTGTGTTGGTCAGGTTGCACAAATATGGCTTATCCCTTGCCACAACTGTGTGGCTCAGGGTTAGGGGTCGCTTCTCAGAGAAAGGGGCATTGGGAGGGGATAAATACTCCTAAAGGTTTCTGGCAGGGTCCACAGTCCATGTGGACCTGTGTTCCTTGATGACAGAGAGGGGGTTTTATTATTCATCTTAATCCTGATTCCCCCAATATGTTAGTACTTTTATGGGAAAATGAGTAGAAAGAAAATAGAATGCATGGTGAGGTTCACAGTTGGCTTCTGATGCATATTATATGGACATAATTAGGTGACTAACTTTTTAAAGTGATGAATCCAAGTGATTCCTTTTTATTCTCACTTATTTATTATGCTCAGAAGTAAGATTAAATTTTTCCTGCTAGCTGTTGCCTTTTCTGACTTTACTTTTTCTTTTTGAAGAGGCCAAGTTTAATTAGCTTTTCAATTTTAGGAGCTGTTTATGCTTAAGTATCTTTTACCTTTTATCCAAGTGGTAATCTTTTCAGGTATCAGTCTGACTTCCTGATAAACCTTCACAGCTGAGCCTGCATAAATGGTTCCTGTGGAAGTCACTGTGAGAGTGCTTTAAGTAACTCTATTTTCACATTAGGATTTTATCCCTGTGTCTGTTTAGCAGTGGTAAAGTGGGATCTGATTTCTATTTTTAAAAATTATTTTTTTTTTTAGAGATAGGATCTCACTCTGTCGCTCAGGCTGGAGTGCAGTGGTGCAGTCATACCTCACTGCAGCCTCCAACTCTTGGGTTCAAGTGATCCTCCTGCCTGAGCCTCCCCAGTAGTTGACAATACAGGCAACGCTATGCGGGATAATAATAAACTTTATTTCTCTGTTTTTGTAAATTAAAAGCTGGCTCTAGATGTGGGCCCCAAGCTGAGGTGACGTGTTTCTGTGCGTCTGGGGCTTAGGGCTTTTTTCTCCTACCGTCATCACCCTGAGGCAACTTGCACTCTGGGACCTTTCTGACAGAATGCTGCCTGTTCACATACCCGTCAGACTTGCTTTCCTCTCAGAATGGAAGTCTTTGGCCAAGAGCATGGAGATTTCCCTTTGGTGTCAAGTCTGCAGGTGTGTCCTTGGAATTGGAGCAATTCTGAGCTGACAGCCTGCGAGCTCTCTCTCGTCACCTTTGTGACCAACAAGTCACCTAGCCCCTCTGATCCTTAGTTTATTTGTCCACAGAGTGGGGATTTTAATGCATTCCCACAGATATATGTGAAACTGTATTTGAAGGCTTTCAGTAAATTGAAGAACACAGGCCAAATTATACAAAATGTATTCTCTTTGTTTTTAAGAATTAAGAAAACCTTTAGTCACATACTTCTTTTTTTTTTTTTTGAGATGGAATCTCACTTTTGTCACCTAGGCTGGAGTGCGGTGGCACATTCATGGCCACTGCAGCCTCAACCTGCTGGGCTTAGGCGATCCTTCCACCTCAGCCTTCCAAGTAGCTGGATCTTCAGACGCACGCCACCACGCCCAGTTAGTTTTTATGATTTATTGTAGAAATGAGGTCTCACCAAGTTGCCCAGGCTGGTTCCGAACCTGCTGGCTCAGGCAGTCCTCTTGCTTCGGCCTGCCAAAGTACTGGGATGACAGGCTGAGCCACTGCACCCAGCCCATACGCTTCTTTAACATGCTATGTGTTTATGCTTTTTTTAAAAAAAATCTTCAAACTCATGTGAACACATATAGTCCAGACAACTAGATTTTAAACTTAGGAGTTGAACTCCACCAACACTCTTTGGGTGTCGACTAGGTGCCAAGCATTGGGTGGGATGCTGGAGACGCATGTAAGAATGAGACATGAGTCACGAGATGGAGACTATGCCCAAAGCAGCCCTACTTCTGGGACATGTAGCTCAGGGCAAAAAGCATGACGAACAATGAATAAACATCTGCTGATGCTGACAATTTATCGAGCCCTGCTTGGTGTTCAGTGCCAACACTATGATCAGTGCTGAGAAGGAAATTAAAATAACAGCTAGTGCTTACAAGAGCTTTATGGATGCCAAGCACTGCACTTGGCATGCATCACCTTATCTGCTTTTCTGAATGATGCAGTTAGATAGGAATTGCTACTCCCATTTTACGCATAGTGTCTCTGAGGTCCCAAGTGGCAAAGCGGTTTTCTCATGGTCACAGAATTAGTAAGTGGTGTACCTGGGATTTGAACCCAAGCTTGACTGACTCCAGAGTGCTC